GGGCGGCCGGGATTCCGATGATCGCGTCCCAATCGGACAGCGAGCCCTGGTCCAGTGGTGCTGGTGGTACTGGTAGAGGCGAGACCGGGCTCAGGATAAGGATGAGACTGGACGTTGCCTCCAGCGGGACAGGAATGAATACAACAATTTATGCTAGAGCCGCAACCCCCCTTTCCTGCCTCCCCCCGCCCCGGCCGGTACCCCTGGCCCTAAGCCCAGACACTGGTTACAATCTCTGGGCTCTCGGCGCGCGCTCCTCGCACCGGGAAACCCGCGTCCAACTTGTCCAAGTCACCCCGTGAATCCCCGCCTTAGTCACATATACAACTTGGGCAAGTCAGTGCGTACAGAGAAGAAAACTTTCGTCCGTATGCAACATAGGCGGATCCAGACACTGCGAACAAAGGGGACCAAAAGGGGGCCGAGGGGTCCCCCCGAAAATTTTCGACATTGAAAAGCATCTAATATGCAGTTTGAGTCAGTTTCGCGGGGTTGCCACAGCCAGGGAAAACCGGGAAATGTCAGGGAAAATGACGGAAATATCAGGGAAAATTTGTTAAATCACCCTCATTTGCTTTCTAGAATGGGTTTGAGGTTTCGAACAACAAATTTTTCTCATCCATGAGAAAGCCTGTAGAAAGAGCATTTGAGTGCATTTTAATATATGATTAATTTACCTATATATGAGAGATGATAGGAGATAGGTACTCCTATCGAAAAGAACGGTTAATTCTCAGTGAGTCATTTTCATTTTCACAGACACGCTAGCATTGGCAAGTTATTCTGCAAAAGGAAAATGAAGCTGCGCAAATTAATACGCAGTAAGTCATTTCTCAGCAAATAAGAGAAAGGTTTAACAAGAAAATTATACGTGGATGCACCTGGATAATTTGATATCACCGTCGCGTTGGTGCAGAGGTTATTCATTGATGACACATCATGCACAGGTGCTTGAAAAATGTCTGAATCGTGAGATTTGCACTAACAATAAATAATAATTATTTACTCAATGAGACGTGCCGCGGTATTACGTCAAAGCGATTCAGAAGAAAAAACCTTTTTTCCCCATTTTTTCTTTTTATTTTTTTTAATAAGCAGTCTGATGCATTAAAAAATAACTATACTGACACAATGAGGTTTTTTCGCACCACGACGCACTCACTATAAAATTATTAATATTTTATGTTTAGAACATAGATTAACTTGAACATTTTACACCTATGAGTTCACTCTTAAGTCAATTTGGTTTGACATTTCACAACAGGTTATTTACGACGTGAAATGAGCAACAAAAATCCAGAATACGCATCTACTGTCAAAGCGAACCATCGACACAAATGTCTAGGCCAAAGTAATTACACACTTGAGAAACCGTAAAAAAACTGTTATCGGCTTTATCACCTGTGGTCTGACTTGAAGTCACAATTTCGGAATACGCATTTGCAAACGGTGCTATTAATGTTTTGTTATCAGTACGAGAGACATAGGCGAGCAATATTATTGCAGTTATATTTTAACGACGAAATTCAGGGGCCAGGCTGATTTCTGACAAATTCCCTCACAAAAAATTGCAAAAGCTGCTCGCCTCCATCCTAAAAAAACCTCAGCGGGCTGATCGTTGATTTTGATAGACAAAGCGATAGACAAAGAAGACAATATGGATATGGAGGAATCCTATTGGTGGAAGCGGGTGGTTGCCATGGACGAAGGCTGTAGGTAATTGACTAACTAACGACAACCCACGAGAGATACGTATTAGTCCATCATTTTCTCCCTTACATTCTACAGGAACCACCCATTTCAACGAATAGGATCGCTCCATACTCCCTATGTCCTCTTTGTCTACAGCTTTGTCAATCAATTTCAACAATCACACCGCAGGTCCACAAATCGATGAGTTCAGTTGGTGATTTTCGGTTCAGCCTCTTTGGTTGACGGAACCGAAATCGGTCCTCTTTTCGGTGAACCCTTGGTCTAGCTCTACGAACCGAAGTTTCAGTTCAGTGAAGATGAAAACTTTGATTCATACGGAATATGTTCCACATCAACCGAAGTTTTTGCTTCGTTCGACCGCGGATCCAGTTCAACGAGGCATATAAGTTCTTTCAATCGAAGAGAGCAATTGGACTGCATTTTGCAATTAGGAACTATAAATTCTGGATCTTATGGGAAAACACGTATATGCATCGGGAAACTAATGGTGCATACGCTGTTTTTAAACCGGGCTAGAATTTATAGTTCCAAATTGCAAAATGCAGTCCAATTCATAATCAACGTACAGTTCAGTCTTATGAGCCGAAAAGGGCCTGACGAATTCATCGGTTCGTATAACCGCTGATTCTTTCGCTCTGAACTAATTGAAACTCATAGTTCCTTTGACAAAAAGACCTGATAGTCTTGAAAACCCATCGGTTCGTATAACCGTTGATTCTTTCGCTGTGAACTAATTGAAACTCGCAGTTCCTTTGACAAAAAGATCTGATAGTCTTAAAACCCATACAGGAGCAAGGAAAGAGAGAGAAAACAGAAAAAAGAAATTAAGGTTTGAAAGTAACCAAATCCGAACAGATTACAAATTAAAAGAGCATTCTCAAAATGAAGGATCATAAATAAAGAACGTAAGGGGACCTGAGTGATTTCGTTTTATTCATGCTCTTTTAATGGCATAGAACGGGTCAGGATTGCCCGCTGATCGCGGTCTCTGATACGTCTATGTTTGTGAATGTCCACTAGAGAGAGCTGAAATGATGGCCCGGGGCTATTGTAGGGAGCGCCATGAGGCCGTCATGTTTGAGTCATGACGAATAGAGGTCTCCTAGTCGTGATTCCTGATTAACACCTCGGGGCAAAATGAGTCATGGCTCGGAGAATCTTGAGACGAGAATTTCACACAATATAGGCGAAGAAGCACTGAAAAAGTCCATTTTCTCATAGTTTGGATATCGATGGCTCAAGTAGAAAGACGCGTTTCTGCATTGCAGTGTTTCAAAATCTCCGACTGTGACCAATTTTTATGAGGAAACCAACCAAATAATCTCCTTGGAATTTTCCTTGAAAATGTTTGAATGAGGAAAGAAAATACACAGAAAATTCAAAAGAACGCTATTGGTTTGTTTTCTTTTGAATTTTTTTTTAATTGAACGGAAATTCGCAACGTGGAATCGTAAATACACACTTTTTGACTCGAACCATCTATATGTATGGGTATTTTCTCCCGAAAGTATGGCTCCTACAAAATTGAAGACTGCCTAATACTTGCCGTGGGTGAGTTACCGGAAAATTTTTCTTGGATTTTTGTTAAAGTGAACCTGAGTCTAAAGAACAAAATCCATCTTTTCAGGAATTGAAATCAATTAGCTTCAACTAGATGGGTTGAAATGGGTGGTTATTATAGTCTATATAGGGAAAAATGATGAGTTAACTATACGTGTCTCGTGTTTTGCCGTTAGTTATTCTACTATTTACTTGATAAATTCATTGCAACCTCCCGCTTCGACCAAAAGAACCGCTCCATTTCTCTTTGACTCCTTCATCCATCGCTTTGTCTATCAATTTCAATACCTCATAAGATTAATATTCGATTTAGATTAGATTAAGATCTACGGGAAAAAAGCCTCTTGGATCCAGAGTTCAGGCTCGTAAACATTTGATAGAAAAAATACTCTTGATGCAATCAGA